CGGCGGCATGCCCATGGGCGGCATGCCCGGCGGTGGCATCCCCCGCGGTGGCATCCCAGGCGGAGGGCCCCGCGGCGGCATCATGCCCGGCGGCGGCATGCCTACAACCAATGCATTCCGTCTCGCGACGTTTTTTCTTTTTTGCGGCGGCAGGACGCTCGACGCGCGCGCCCGGCGGAGGCATGCCCATCGGCGGCATGCCGGGCGGCGGCCCGCGGGGGGGCATCATGCCCGGCGGCGCCATGCCTACGAGCGCAGCGGTGGCGTCCGGTCTGAGCTACGGCGAAGCGCAACGGGAGGGGGGGGGGGGGGAGGGTCCGCGCGCGCCGGGTGGCGGCATGCCGGGCGGCGGCATGCCGGGGGGCGCTCCAGCCGGCCGCGGGTACATCTGCGGCGCCGCGGTCGCCGCAGTCTGCGGCTGCATCGCGCCCATCGCCGGCCCGCCGATGCCGCGCACCGGCCCGGCGAGGCCCGCCGGCGCCGTCTGCGGCGCAATCGCCATGCCCCGGCCCGCAGCCTTTGCGACCCCGGGCCCGCCCTCGGCACCCGCGACGGGTTTGCGCCGGTCGTCCTGGGGCGGGGGCCCCTCGACCGACATGGATACGACGGTCTCGCCGCGCACGAGCACCAGGCCCAGCGTCCGCTTCTCCTCCCGCTCCTCCTTCTTCCCCTTGATCGTCACCTTGCGGAACTCTTCGGTGTCGGACAGGATCAGGTTCATGTACTTGTCAAAGGCCATGAATTTGCCGACGAACGTCCGCGAGTCCTGGATGGTGATCCGCATCCGGTAGTTGATGAGCGCCTGCGGCGGGCAGGGGGCGCCTCGGCAGAGACGGCGGCGGCGGTGCGCGCACACGTGCGCTCATGCAGAGAGGACAAGAGCCCGCACTCCCGCCGGGGTGAGCGGCGCACCAGCATCTTGCCGCTGCGGGGGATGCCTTGCGCGTGCAGGCTAGTCATCGCCGCCATCTTGGCGCTCGGGGCGCTGTGGAGAGCAGACGCTGGCAGCCTGCGCCACGCGCGTGAGTTTTTTTTTTGAGCTTAGCCTTCGATGTTTTGAAACAACGCAAGGCGGACATGGCATATCGCTCTCGGGCCCACAGACATCCCGCACACTCGCCGCACACCCGCCGCCCCCGCGCGCGCCCCACCCCGGCCGGGAGAGAGGGGAGTGACAGTTTGGGACGGCGACAGCCCGAGTATGTTGAGTCCTGGCTCAACAACGCAGGGTTCAAGAGGGGGTGGTCCGGCTCACAGGTCCGGCTCACGCGCCTCGAGCTGACCATCTACCGCACTGAGCACTTCCGCCCCCTCGCTCCCAACCCACCCACCCCGCCCCGGGCCGCGCCGCGCGATCTCGGGCGATCTCGGGCCGCGCCGCGCGATCTCGGGCGATCTCGCGCTATCTCGGGCGATCTCGGGGCCGCGCCGCGCTATCTCGGGCGATCTCGGAGCGTCGCTCGCGCGGCGTCACACCTGCTCAAAAAGGAAGGAGGTTGGAGGCAGGAGGTCACGCCCCATCCAGAGCGCCGTCGTCGCCGGGTTTTTGGCCCCCGGGTCGTCGCCCGACGGTTGCTGCGCGGGGCAGCAGACCGTCGGACGGCGCGACGACGCCCCGTCCGGCACGCTCCCCCCTCCACCCGGCTATTGCCGCACGAGCGCCCTCAGCGGCGGAATTTTTCCCTCGCGCTTCCTTGGGCCCCCGGCAACGCCGACGGACTTCCCGTCCCCCCACCTGCGCCGCAATCACCGCCGTGATTGTCGGCGCTGCGCCCCTTGGCGCCTGTGCATGTCCCGCGTGCCCGCCCGCCAAGGCTGGTGCCAAGGCCAACTCAACTGCCAAGGCTGGTGCCAGGGCCAAATCAACTGCCTGGCTGGTGCCAAGTGAGCTTAGCCTTCGATGTTATGAAACAACGCAAGGCGGACATGTTTTTTAGCTCAATTCTCGAGGTTCTCGAGGTGGATATCCTTTGGCCGCGTTGGGTAGCGAGGATTGGTGTGGAGAATCTGGGAATCTGGAGAATCTGGGAATCTGCTCACCACGGGACGGAGTTTTTTCTGAGCTAGCCTTCGATGTAATGAAACAAACGCAAGGCGGACACAAGCACATCGCTCTCTCGGTCCCACAGACATCCCGCCCCGCATACCCGCCGCACACCCCCCGCCCCCGCGCGCGCCCCACCCCGGCCGGGAGAAAGGGGAGCGACAGTTTGGATTTCTCTTGGATTTTTTCCGCTTTTGTTCCATTGATTGGATACACCAAAGAGAGATATCTCTGTTATACCGCGCTGGTGTCCAGTCCGAGCCTGACTGTTCTTCGTTGTATGTGGCTCCTACGTACATTCCCGGAGGAGGACTGCTGACAGGGTTTGCGATGAGGAGTGACCCGAAGCGTTTCTTTCTCGGGGTTAGTGCACCACTAACCGCCTTTCCAAGAGCACTGCGCCTCACTCAGCGGGCTCATCTTCACCTTCCTATATAAAAAAGGACGCCTCCCTTGTCGCAGTCACCACACACACACACACACACACACACACACACACACAACACACACACACACACACACACACACACACACACACACACACACACACACACACACACACACACACACACACACACACACACACACACACACACCGCCCGCACGCCCACCGCCCCGCCTAGGCCGGAAAGTCGAAAGAGATGAGGAGATGGAACAGCCCGAGGAAGAAGCTAACAAACACGTAACGGGTGGGGGGGTAATTAATAAAGAGTACCCTGGGCTTGCCTTCTCTTGCTCTTGTAAGCAGACGCGGGAGACGGAATTGTAGTAGTGTCTAGTGAGCAGCCAACCCGACGACTGCGGCCGACTGGTACGAAAAAGAAGAAAGAATTTTATAACCAAACAAACACACTCTCACGACACTGGACACGGGACTGGCGCGCACTGGGCACTATCCACTAACACAGCTCACAGGTAAAGGGGAAGGACCCTCAGTTGACCAGGGGTTGTGCGCCAGGCCCTCCTGCTCGGCTCCAGCCAGTAGACAAGTATTGTCATCAACAGAGTAGAAGGATCTGACCTCGGGGCCGATGTGACCAAGCGCTGGTAGCGTGGTTTTACCTCACACCACATGGTCTCACAGTGTGCCGGCAGTCGCCGAGCAGTGTCGCTCACACAAGCCGCAGCACAAGTGACTGAGGGCCAGTGAGGGCGAGCCCATCGCTGTGACAGCTGGTGGAAGCCGCACAGTAGGCTGTGCCAACTGTGCAGAGCGTGTGAGCAGCAGAGAAGCTGCTCTCCAGGCTTCTGTCGCAAAGAGCTGCATGCCACCGAAGGCGCTGTCGAGGTTCGCCGCGAGCGTGGCGCAGGTTGGAGGAAGCCGCCACCGACGAGCGCGTTGGACTTTTCACTCCGGACAAAGACGGGGACACAGCGGACGGTGCGGGGCGTGTGCCCGTCTTACGTAGCGGCGAGGCGCGGGGGACCCTCCGTCTGTGGCGAGGTGGGTCGCGTCCTCCGATTTCCGTCAACTCACGGTCCTTCCCCCGCACATGCACATGCACATGTGCATGTGCATGTGCATGCACATGTGCACATATTTGAGACACTATTGTGCATTGAGAGCGTACACAAGAAAGTTACTTTCGGGCACAACCGACGCGGCACGACACGACGCACAAACGCCACAGGCTGTGCACCAGGGAGGCACGGAGAGAAATATGGCATATGCGCACACGGGGCGCGTCTAGGCGACGGGCGACGGTGATGGCTGTCTACAGCGCAAAGACAACTCAACAACTGCTGGCTGGTTCAGTACTGCTAGTGCGCCGACTGACGCGCGGGGTGCGCCCTCGATCAACTACCTAGCTAGCGCCCGCCTCCGCAAGACAGATCATACAAGACAGTTGCCAGAGTCAGATTGCTCTATCTCTCCATCTCTCTATCTAGTCACGACTCTGCAAGACTGTTGCTGCTTGCTGAGCCGCGAGGAAGCACGCGAGGAAGGGGGCGAGGACATGCAGCAGGTGAAAGGAGGGCATGCGCTCGTCGCCCGTCCGGACGCGGAAGACAACGGCACCGCACGTAGCCGCGCAAGCAAAGTAACCCGCGACGAGTAGCTTGCGGGTGGAAGGGAGGGCAGAGGGCGGTAGCGCCCCTAAGGAGGCGCCGACCGCTGTAGCGAGTGCGAGAATCGCCAATCTCGCCTCCGTCATCCTGTCCAGGTCACGCGACAGGTCTGCCGGCGAGCGGAGCAGGGCGTCGCCGACACGCAGCGTCGGGACGCAAATGGCCAGCAGCGTCGTCGCACGCGCGACAAAGCGAGGCGAGGCCCGAGCCAAGTTGACGATGACCAGCACCACGAAGCCCGCGGCCCCAAGGAAGAAGGTTGGGTCGGTGGTGAGCTCGGCCACGAACGCGGCGAACACGACGACGAGGGCGAGCGAGACCTGGATCGGTGCGAACACGCTCCGACGCGCCGGCAGCGGCCACGAGCGCGGCGCAGAGAGCGGCGGCGGCGGCGGCGAAAGCGGCAGTGGGGCGGAGCTGTCTTGTTGCCGGAGGCTGGGGCCCGAGACAGCCAGGGCCGCGAGGAAGCACGCGAGGAAAGGGAGGAAACCGTGCAGCAGCTGAAGGGAGGGCATGCGATCGTCGCCCGTCCGGGCGCGTTTGGCCATGGCACTGCACGTCACCACGCAAGCTACGTACGCCGCGGCGTGTAGCTTGCGGGTGGAAGGAAGGGCGGAGGGCGGCTGCGCGCCAAAGGACGCGCCGCCCGCTGCACAGAGCGTGAGGAAACCTAGCCTTCCTTCTGCCAACCTGTCCACGTCACGGGCCAGCTCTGCCGGCGAGCAGACCAGGGCTTGGATAAGCCGCAGAGTCGGGCCACAAACGACAATCATCATCGTCACGCTCGCCACAAAGCGAGGCGAGGCCCGAGCCAAGTTCGCGACGGCCAGCACCGCGAAGCCTGCGACCAGAAAGAGGAAGGCAGGGTCTGTGTAGAGCTCGGCCACGAACGCGGCGAACACCTACAGGAAAATTCCGAGAAGGTTCAGAGCCGCGGTTCCGAGCAATAGAGCTCTCGGCCGGGAAAGCGGCGCACGCACCAACACGAGCGTGAGCGAGAGCTGGACCGGCTTGCTCTGCATCACGTCCAAACGCGAAGCGCTGTGTGTGGAGACAGCGCCTCCCGGCCCTGTGGCCCATCTCCCGGCCTCCTCCGGGGGCGATGGCGGCGGCGTCCCCGCCGGCATGCCGCCACGGACTTGGACAGCGGTCGGAGCTCCTGCAGGCGGGACGCCGCCGACCGGCGGCAACGGCACCGGCGGCGGCATGTTAACCACGCCTTGCCAAGGCACCCCGATGCCGTTGGCGCGCCACACTCCCGTGGCCGCTGCACCCTGCGGTGCGATGCCAGCTGCTGCGCCCCCGGAGAGGTCGAGCAGCGCGGAGGCCGCGCACGCGTCGGAGGGGGCGTGGAGCACTTGTCCCTCTGGGGGCGGCGGCGGCGGCGCAACCGCGCGGCCCGCCGTCTCCAGCGCTGCGGCAACCGCTCTTGGATTGTGCAGCGGCACTGCTGGTACGGGGGCGGGGATGGCTGAAGGGCTGACCAATTGCTGGACGCGCGCCTCGGAGCGAGCCACGTCGCCGGCCGTCAGCCGACGCTGGAGCAGATCGGTCGGGCTTGTGGTGTCGACCATTGAGGCGTGTCCGGGTTGTGCGGGCGCGGTGGCGCAAGACGCCAAGCCAGTCGGCACGGACGCCAAGCCGGCGAGGGGCAGATCGTAGGCGGCGGCAAAGGATCGCGCGACAGAGGCGGCGGCGGCGGCGGCGGAGGTGGCAGCGGCGGCGGCGATGGCGGCGGAGTGAAGGGCAGCGGACCGGTGCTGCTGCAGCTCATCCCTTGGCGAGATTACCTGGGGGCTGAAGAACACGCCAGGAATCGCTTCGTGGAGGGGGATGCCGATGACGTGGGAGGGCTCGGTGGAGGTCAGGGAGGCCTGAGAAGTGATCCGCTGCCCTTGCGTCCAGAGGGAGGCGCTGGAGACCGGCTCGTCGAGGGTGCGCCCCGTCTCGGTCGGTGTGGCCGGCAGGGTGGGCGGTGTCATGTGCATCACGCCCGCCGTTGGCGCCAAGGCGAGGGGGGGCGGGTGGGCGCGCGGGCCCAGCAGCGGCGCGAGGGTGCGCCCGATGCGAAAGGTGTACCAGCCGCACGAACCGTGCGGAAACTCGCCGAGGCGATGGAGCGGAGCCGACGTTGCAAACTTCAGGATGACAATCGGCGGACCGATGCAGTTGATGGTCTGGTTGACGACCCTGTGCGGCGGCCAGCCGTCTGCGTCGGGGCCCTCGTTCCAGCACCCGCCTCCGTGCTTGTTGGTCGGCACGCAGCCTGAGCAAACCACCCGCAGGCGGGAGGCGTTGATCTGCACTCCTCTCGCTCGGCATGTGGTGCAAAACCTCTCTCTGAACGAAGGGCCAGCCTTGATCGGCACTGGCACGCACGCCGGCGTAGTGCCGCCCGACAGCAGATGCCCCCAGCAGACAGCGTGTCCTCTTTCAATGTGTCCCTCAGCCATGCTGGCCGTCGGGGGGGTCGAAAAACAGCGTTTCCCCTTCGATTCCAAATATTCGCGAGCGTGACACACACCGACGACAACTTTCGAAGTTTTCTCAACCCGCCTCGAGAATCCTGCTCGTTCTCAGGGAGGGGCGTAGTCCCGTTCACACCCTCACTTAGGCATGAGCGCCCGAAACTTAAACGGCGGGCGCTTGACGAACCCGAGGGGGGGCGGGGGCAGCAACGGCTGCGGCCCCGAGAGTCGAATCGACAACTCGTAGTTCGAACTGGCGACTCATAATGAAACTTGCTGAAATCGCCCTGTGGGGGCGGCAGCGGCGACCGCCCCGGGGGCGGCAGCGGTGACCGCCCCGGGGAATATGTTTAGCGACTCCCACCCCCAAGGAAGTTCTGATAGACATGTCCAGGACTCTGTGGCTGAAGTAGCGTGTGCGTCGAAGCCACAAGAGGGCTGGCTACGTCGGAGAATTGGGGGGGTGGGGGTTTCGCGTATTTTGTTTTCCTTGAACGGTTGATGAGACTGTGAAACGATCGCCGCAAGGGGCGTGAACGCACAAGTGCGTAATGACCGCAAGTGGTCGTGAACACCCCAAGGGGTGTGAAAGTAAATACTCCACTTATTCACAGATACCATACCAGCAAAGTACCCGAATCCAACTCCACGTGCCCAAGCGCACACCGGCCGGAGCGCCACCGGGGGGTGCCGCCCTCCCGTTCATGAGCCCAACAACACGAACGCTATCCATCCTCACCGGCCCCCATCCCCGTGGTCGGCCTCGCTCGCCGCGCCAAGCCGCGGTCCGGTCGTCCGCCCGGCGGCCAAGCCCAAGGGCGGGGAGGGGGCCACCCGCGCTCGCGCAGGAATCACTCTGCGCGTCGTGCTTTGCTGCTTTCTGGTCTTCAAAAATCTTCATCTGACAACATGCAACTCCAAACAAAACTGGGACCGCAGACAGTCACACGCCACACACACGCGTATATCCGTGACTCGCAGCACATGCAGAGTACAGAGCAAGAAACGCCATCCGATCGTATAGCGCGATCGCACCGTCGGTCGCTCGGCCGAAAAAACGTTAGCGCTTCATCTCAGAGGCTGCAACTGAGGGATGAAAGTACTGCCAGCCAAGTTTGATTGCTGCTGCAACCCTGATTTATAACTCTGTGGCTCCAATGGGTCTATGTCTCTGCTGTGTTAGGATCATCAGAGGTGTCGAGCGGTGTCGAGCGGTGTCGAGCGGTGTCGAGCGGTGTCGAGCGGTGTCGAGCGGTGTCGAGCGGTGTCGAGGGGTGTCGAGGGGTGTCGAGGGGTGTCGAGGTGTCGAGTTTGGCACCTTGACACGGACGAGCATGGTTTCAGCCTAGATGGTGTCGAGGGGTGTCGAGGGGTGTCGAGGGGTGTCGAGTTTGTCGAGTTGGCATGGGTTGTCGAGGTGTCGAGTCGGTGTCGAGGTTTGGTGTCGAGGTGTCGAGGCCAGGGCTCAGGACGTTCGGCGCAGAAAACATGGAAGAATTAGCAGCGAGTCCTCGGCCGCCCCTGTCAGTGTGCCTGTGGTAGTGAGAGACTGCCAGCGCGAGAAGCTGGAGACAACAGAAGACTGAGATGAGACGGCCAGTGGAGTTGGGAGTCCACCGAGCACCGTGCTGCGAGCCTGTCGTGTCCCTTGTCAGCAGCAGGAGAACCCCCTGTGGCTGTGCCCCTGATCGTCCTTCCAAAATCCTGCTCGTGCAGGTGGGGACCCTGTCGTCCTCCACCATCCCTCGTTTGGATCGTCTGTTTTCTTTCTTTAGGCACGAGACTGGCGCGCACTGGCACTAACAGGCACTAACAGGTACACCAGTGTGCAGCGTGGCAGAGAAGAATTTTACAACAAAACTCCCTCGCACAGAGAAGAAACTTCGAGCAACGGAGTGATGCGCCAGCTGTGGATGCAGAACCAGCAGAAGGCGTGCACCTGCTGCGCCCGGCGCCCCCGACGTGCCTAGAGATAGATCTCGGCACTGCTTGTGTAGTTTATTTTTGCTTGGCCGGCACTCATGATGAAATTCTGCAAAAACCTGACCGGCCCCTCGAGGAAGAAGCTAACAAACACGTAACGGGTGGGGGGGGGTAATTAATAAAGAGTACCCGGGGCTTGCCTTCTCTTGCTCTTGTAAGCAGACGCGGGAGACGGAATTGTAGTAGTGTCTAGTGAGCAGCCAACCCGACGACTGCGGCCGACTGGTGCGAAAAAGAAGAAAGAATTTTATAACCAAACACTCTCTCACGACACTGGACACGGGACTGGCGCGCACTGGGCACTATCACTAACACAGCTCACAGGAAAGGGGAAGGACCCTCAGTTGACCAGGGGTTGTGCGCCAGGCCCTCCTTCTCGGCTCCAGCCAGTAGACAAGTATTGTCATCAACAGAGTAGAAGGATCTGACCTCGGGGCCGATGTGACCAAGCGCTGGTAGCGTGGTTTTACCTCACACCCATGGTCTCACAGTGTGCCGGCAGTCGCCGAGCAGTGTCGCTCACACAAGCCGCAGCACAAGTGACTGAGGGCCAGTGAGGGCGATCCCATCGCTGTGACAGCTGGTGGAAGCCGCACAGTAGGCTGTGCCAACTGTGCAGAGCGTGTGAGCAGCAGAGAAGCTGCTCTCCAGGCTTCTGTCGCAAAGAGCTGCATGCCACCGAAGGCGCTGTCGAGGTTCGCCGAGCGTGGCGCAGTTGGAGGAAGCCGCCACCGACGAGCGCGTTGGACTTTTCACTCCGGACAAAGACGGGGACACAGCGGACGGTGCGGGGCGTGTGCCCGTCTTACGTAGCGGCGAGGCGCGGGACCCTCCGTCTGTGGCGAGGTGGGTCGCGTCCTCCGATTTCCGTCAACTCACGGTCCTTCCCCCGCACATGCACATGCACATGTGCATGTGCATGTGCATGCTACATGTGCACATATTTGAGACACTATTGTGCATTGAGAGCGTACACAAGAAAGTTACTTTCGGGCACAACCGACGCGGCACGACACGACGCACAAACGCCACAGGCTGTGTGCACCCAGGGAGGCACGGAGCGATATATGGCATATGCGCACACGGGGCGCGTCTAGGCGACGGGCGACGGTGATGGCTGTCTACAGCGCAAAGACAACTCAACAACTGCTGGCTGGTTCAGTACTGCTAGTGCGCCGACTGACGCGCGGGGTGCGCCCTCGATCAACTACCTAGCTAGCGCCCGCCTCCGCAAGACAGATCATACAAGACAGTTGCCAAAGTCAGATTGCTCTATCTCTCCATCTCTCTATCTAGTCACGACTCTGCAAGACTGTTGCTGCTTGCTGAGCCGCGAGGAAGCACGCGAGGAAGGGGGCGAGGACATGCAGCAGGTGAAAGGAGGGCATGCGCTCGTCGCCCGTCCGGACGCGGAAGACAACGGCACCGCACGTAGCCGCGCAAGCAAAGTAACCCGCGGCGAGTAGCTTGCGGGTGGAAGAGAGGGCAGAGGGCGGTAGCGCCCCTAAGGAGGCGCCGACCGCTGTAGCGAGTGCGAGAATCGCCAATCTCGCCTCCGTCATCCTGTCCAGGTCACGCGACAGGTCTGCCGGCGAGCGGAGCAGGGCGTCGCCGACACGCAGCGTCGGGGCGCAAATGACCAGCAGCGTCGTCGCACGCGCGACAAAGCGAGGCGAGGCCCGAGCCAAGTTGGCGACGACCAGCACCACGAAGCCCGCGGCCCCAAGGAAGAAGGTTGGGTCGGTGGTGAGCTCGGCCACGAACGCGGCGAACACGACGACGAGGGCGAGCGAGACCTGGATCGGTGCGAACACGCTCCGCCACGAGCGCGGCGCAGAGAGCGGCGGCGGCGGCGGCGAAAGCGGCAGTGGGGCGGAGCTGCCTTGTTGCCGGAGGCTGGGGCCCGAGACAGCCAGGGCCGCGAGGAAGCACGCGAGGAAGGGGGCGAGGACATGCAGCAGGTGAAAGGAGGGCATGCGCTCGTCGCCCGTCCGGACGCGGAAGACAACGGCACCGCACGTAGCCGCGCAAGCAAAGTAACCCGCGGCGAGTAGCTTGCGGGTGGAAGGGAGGGCAGAGGGCGGTAGCGCCCCTAAGGAGGCGCCGACCGCTGTAGCGAGTGCGAGAATCGCCAATCTCGCCTCCGTCATCCTGTCCAGGTCACGCGACAGGTCTGCCGGCGAGCGGAGCAGGGCGTCGCCGACACGCAGCGTCGGGGCGCAAATGGCCAGCAGCGTCGTCGCACGCGCGACAAAGCGAGGCGAGGCCCGAGCCAAGTTGGCGACGACCAGCACCACGAAGCCCGCGGCCCCAAGGAAGAAGGTTGGGTCGGTGGTGAGCTCGGCCACGAACGCGGCGAACACGACGACGAGGGCGAGCGAGACCTGGATCGGCGCGAACACGCTCCGACGCGCCGGCAGCGGCCACGAGCGCGGCGCAGAGAGCGGCGGCGGCGGCGGCGAAAGCGGCAGTGGGGCGGAGCTGTCTTGTTGCCGGAGGCTGGGGCCCGAGACAGCCAGGGCCGCGAGGAAGCACGCGAGGAAAGGGAGGAAACCGTGCAGCAGCTGAAGGGAGGGCATGCGATCGTCGCCCGTCCGGGCGCGTTTGGCCATGGCACTGCACGTCACCACGCAAGCTACGTACGCCGCGGCGAGTAGCTTGCG